CATACTGCTCTTCTAGAGTCACAGAGTTCTGCATTCCAGCACCTACCTTGGGCAGCTCACAACAGCCTGAACTCCGGCTCCAAGGGACCTAATACCATCCTCTGGCCTCCATAGGCACCTGCACATGTGTGGCTCACATAGAGATACATAAAAATCTGCAGGGCCATGTATTGTGGCACATGCCTTTAATTCCATTCTGGGGACAGAGGCAGGCAGATCTCTGTGAGTTCCAGGCCAGCCAGGACTACATGAGACTGTCTTAGGAACTAAAATAAAATAAAGTTCAGCGAGAGACTGAATATTATTATGTATTGTCCCAGGGTAATAAAGCAAAACATGTTTAAGCATACAGGACACCATATATCTTCCTCTTGCTTCTACACAAGCTCATAAGCACACATATGTGCATACATACACACTATACACACACACACACACACTTGCTATAATCTGGATGATCTTTGATTATGCCAGGTGAAACCAGCCAGTTACAAGGACAGACACTATATGATTCATTCATATGCAGCACTACAGTAGTTAGATTCATAAACCTAGAAAGGAGAATGCTGTACCCAGAAATTGAGAAGATGGAAGGTGCCACATCCAGCACGGCTCTAGGAATAGACCTGACAGAGGTAGTGAGCGAATGAAAAAAAGACAGACAGAGACACAGACAGAGACATAGACAGAAAACTAGGTGGTCTGGGCTCTTAGCTAGAGAAACCACAGCACCCTGGAAGCTCAGTGTTTATTTTATGCAATTGAACAGAGAAGTGGAGTTATTGGGTACAGCAGAACAAGGAGATGGGGTTATGGCATACAGATAAACAGAGAGACAAGGGTTTATGGCATACAGCTGCATCGAGTGAATGAGATTAGCTAATCTCAGTAGGAATATTCTCAGTGGGAGCAGTCTTCAGGCTATGCACATTGGGTGGGAGGGAGGCTGTGGTGACATATTCTTGACATACTGTCAGTGCTTGCACTTCTCTCTTCCAAGGGAGGCTTTGCTGTGCATCTGAACCTCACCCCAAGGGGAAGGAAGGCTTTGCCATATCTCTGTGGGTCTGAGGCTCCACAGTCTTTGACATGGCCAGCTTATGTCAATAGCACATATTCTCTCAGGACTTCACTCAGGCAGGGCTTCCCGTTCTCCACAGAAGAAATAGAGAATTGTTATTTCGTGGGTTTAGACTTTTAATTGGGAAGATGAAAAAGGTTAGGAAATGGAAAAACATGTTTGTACAGTAGAAGCATATTAAATGACAGTGAATTAGAATCGTACAAAAATGACTAAAAAGGTAAAATTATTATGATATGCACAGGCAATTGAGCAAACCAACCTTTCCCACTTATGATAACCCTGTACTCTCCTCTGAGACGTTCAGTGACTTCTCTGGATTGTGTCGCCTGATATGTGACATGCAATCTTTTATACCTGTTCAGTGATACAAAACTATAGCTCCACCTACCTGTATTGATTCTCATTGTTACTTTAAAAAGAAGAAATAGACAGGAGGCGTCCTTCAGAGATGCATACTGGCTTCATTGGCATGAGCTTGCAGAGCAGCTCTGTTCCCAACAGCAGGACTCACCACAGCACTGGAAGCTCCTCATTGCTCTTCCTTGAATCCGCCCCCACCCTCAGCTATATCCCCAGCCTAGAATCTTACTGTTTATAACTTTTAGTTTAAACTACGGTTAACATAACACATTATGTCCCAGCCAAGCAGTCAACCAAGGTGACCTGAGAAGAAGAGCCACCGTGTCTGCACAGCTATGCCAACATTAGCAATACAGCTCTTTCAACTTATCTACAGGGACAACAAGCTTCCTTTGGCCCAGAGAGGAAGATATGTTCAGAAGTATTAAAGTGTGGGAGGAAATGGTTTATCAGTTATGGTTTCTGGCAACCAATTAAAGAAGTGGGCTCTGGTGACTTTGAGCAGAAAAGGAACCTTTAAAACTGTGGTTCCCAACCTTCCTAATGCGGTAACCCTTGAATACAGTTCCCCATGTTGTGGTGACCCAAACCATAAAATTATTTTATTATGTCATAACTGTAATTTTGCTGCTGTTATGAATCATAATGTAAATCTCTATGTTTTCCCATAGTCTTAGGAGACCGATGTAAAAGGTTGTGACTCACAGAGAACTGGTCGGGTCAGTCACAGAATTAATGGAGATGTTGGAAAGCTAGGCTCAGGAAATGGCTGTAAGCACAGGACTGCATTCACCTTCATGAATACATTTTCCTTCTGTTGTCACATGGTTTATTCCTTTGAGGTTCAACCCTCCACTCTGGTTGAAAGGTAACAGTGTCCAAATCTAGATCACTTACTTGTGTCTAGCCTACAAAGGGACACCTGTGGCTCATGGGGGACCCTCCCATCCAAGCAGAAAGGGAGTTCATCAAAAGGTGACTCATCCTCTTAGTACACTGCTGCTCACAGCATCTCCTATTAGTGTTTCTAAGTCTTCATAGATCTCATGCTGGTCACAGGGAGACCAAGTGGGACCAGAGGGATGAGTCTGTCACCCTCCTAAAGAGCAGATGCCAGGCAGGTCCTTCTGTCATCAGGTCCCAGCCATCCTCCTGACACCTGAAGACACGTGTTTATGTGCAGAGGCTCAGCTACTGTGACCTGTGGTTTGGGGCTGTCTGGTATGCTAACTAGTCCAGGTGACAATGGTACTTGTTAGCTTGTGAGGCAGTTTGCTTGGCCTTTGAGTGACAGAACTCAGAGGAAAGTCTTGACGCTGTCTTTACATACTACTATGTGACCCATTCGGCAAGTCTTGGCCTTTGCTCTGTCTAAACTGGTTGTTGAAGAAATGAGAGTAAACTCTGTCCTATATTCTGAGCACCGCAGGCGTTCAAAAGACAGACGTAATAGAGAATTAGGAATCTCCACTGTGCCATCGACATAAGTACCAAGTATGTAGAGAGCCGCATAGTGCTGCACCCTTAAGATGGCGCCGGTCTCCACCTTCCACCAACAGGTGGCTCTCGACAGTGACTGACGACCCCGGGGGAAGCGGCTCCCAGGCTTAAGTACTCTAGGACTAGCCAACCCCCGTCTGCCATGTGTCAATAGCAGATAGGTCCACATACGCGGAGACAAGCCAGATCACCAGCCACAGCCAAATAAGGAGTTGTTTACTCCTAAGAGTCTTCACCAGCAGGTGGCAAGGACTTGCTTACTCCTAAGAGCACTCGCCATGGTGGAAGGCGGAGACCAGCGCCATCTTAAGGGTGCAGCATTATGCGGCTCTCCACACAAGTAGTAAGGAAGGGAGGAAAGGCCATGGAGAGACACAGGAGGGCTTCCATGTGTCTCAGTTAGGTTTGGGGTGTGTGTTGGTGTGTGTGTGTGTGCGCGTGTGTTGCTGAGCATTGCCTAGTTTTTAACGTTTTATGTGAATATTATCATTCTATATTAATCTTTTTGTTGTTTGTATCCATCTATCTATCTATCCATCCATCCATCCTCTATCAGGATAACTCTGTATCTCAGAGTGGCCTCAAATCCTCCTGCCTCCACCTCTCAAGTGGTAGAATCTTACATATGAAACACCATGTCTGACATTATATTCATCTCTTTGAAACTAATTTCTACCCAACACTTTCTCATTTATGAAGAGTAGGGTTTTTCTTTTTAAGATGTATTTATTTTTGTTTTATATGTATGAGTGGTTTCTTGTATGTAAGTCTGTGCACCATCGTATATGAAGTACCCATAGACGCCAGTGAGGATGTCAGATATCCTAAAACTTGAGCTTTAGGCAGTTATTAGATGACATGTGAGTACTAGGAGCCAAGCCCAGGTCCCCTGGAAGAGCAGCCGGTGCTCTTAACTACTGAGCCATCTCTCTAGTAACCTGTCCACAGAGGTTGCTGCTGCTGTTGTATGTTTATTTGTAAAGATTCACCTGTGTTGACAGGTGAAGATCTAGTTAATTTTTTTTGCTCTCTGGTATTTGTTATCTGAATAAACCAAGCTTGGTTTTTAAACATATCTGCAGTGCGCAAGGCACCACATTAAAATTCCACAGTAGCTATGTCAGCACTCATCATATTTTTCTTGAGACTTTAACATGTGTTTGAAAATATTGGAAATGGAAGGGAACAAGGGAAACAAGCAGGGAAGGCAGGAAGAGAGTTGAGTGCTCAGCAACAGTGGGTCAGATGGAGACTGCCGCTCTGCAGTGGAGCAGCCTGAGATCAAAATAACCTTTGCTATTGGCCTGCTTGCGTGCCTCTCTTGGGAACTTACTTCCTTGGAGGAGATGGCTGACAGTCTTGACCTCGGGACGAGTGTTTACTTCACCACTTGATTTGGAACAGATTGGTAGGTGGCCAAATATACTCAGTGGAATTTGTTGTGGCCCTGGCCATGTTAAAAAGAAATTGGCAATGACCATATTCTGTATGACAGTTTTTAAAAATACTTTATAAACACACTTAAGCTATAAATAGTCCTCATGATAAATATCAATCACAACTTTTCCCAGACAACCCTTGACCTCCTCAACACTCTATAAATTGGACTAAAAGAAATGCTTCCATTCCCATGCTTGCCAGATACCCTGGAAACTGCAGTGGCCTCCACGCTCTCTTCCTTCCTCATTGCAGATGTTTTCTGAAAAGTAAGACTTGTCCAGAGAACAGGCCATGGTCTTCAGTGTCAGGACTAGAGGTCATTTCTGCCACCTATCCAAGACCTGTGCTGGGTGAAGTCAGAGTCCTGAGTATTAAGTGAATTTGCCCAAGTGTGGTGCTTCATCAGACTGACCAGAGAGCTCATTCTGTTCCTTTTCTAGGAAAGGTGCCAGGCCCCCAGTTTTGACGATATACATCTAGCCCAGGGTACCTCATGTGAAATGATTTTTCAGGTCATAGACTCTGCTGTCGCAGAATCAGCCCTCTTCACTGAAGCTATCCTATACTGTGCCCTCCAAAGTGGTCAGCACACTAACAGACCCTTTTCTCCACCTAGGGTATGACTTCTGCCAGGTCTTACAGTGGTTTGCCGAGAGGGTTGACAGGATCATCCTGCTCTTTGATGCTCACAAATTAGACATCTCAGATGAGTTCTCAGAGGCGATCAAGGCCTTCCGGGGCCAGGATGACAAAATCCGAGTGGTATTGAACAAGGCTGACCAAGTGGACACACAGCAGCTGATGAGAGTCTATGGGGCCCTCATGTGGTCTCTGGGCAAGGTTATCAACACACCGGAAGTACTTCGAGTCTACATTGGCTCGTTTTGGGCACAGCCCCTGCAGAACACCGACAACCGCCGGCTTTTCGAGGCTGAAGCACAGGACCTCTTCCGAGACATCCAGAGCCTGCCCCAGAAGGCTGCAGTTCGCAAACTCAATGACCTCATCAAGCGAGCAAGATTGGCCAAAGTAAGCATGAGATGACAGACTGGGCACTGGGCTGGTATTGGATTACACTGCTAGCTCTTGTACGATTGGGCAGCTCCATCCTTCGGGGAGGGAATGTGATTGGTGACACCTTTAATCTCAGTGCTTGGGCAGCAGAAGCAGGTGAATCTTTATGAATTTCAAGGCCAGCCTTGTTTTCATAGGGGTTCCAGGCCAGCTAAGGCTACACAGTTAGACCCTGTCCAAAACAAACAAACACCACTATAATCTTGCTGTACCTTTAATCCCAACATTCAAGAGACAGAGATGGGGGGGGGGGGGGAAGAGGGAGAGAATCTCTGAGTTTGAGACTAACCAGGGCTATACTGAGACCCTCTCTATAAACAAACTAAACTAAAAAAAGCCTTGGGATCAGGATCATGCTCTATCCCAGTCTGTAGTCTCAGGCAGGCGCTGAGACTTTAAAGCCTGGTTTTGAGTCTGAAACCTGGAGCTGACAAGAGCCTTTCACGTAGTGCTTGTGCGGTTCTGTGTGACACAGCACTGAGTACAGCACCTGGGCACAGAGGAGGATCAGCCAGCACGGTGACTACAAGGAAACTGTCATGCAGTAATGTGGTAGGATGATGAGACAGCTGGCCCAGTATAGAAGAGGTGGGGTGCTGGGAGGTCACCACTAGGCTCTGTGCATTTAAGGGTGGAATCCAGAACTGCCTAGAAGCTGGGAGTGGGGTGGCAGTTATGAGAGCATCCTGGATCCATACAGCCTCATTCTGGCCTATAGCCCATGCTTGTAGTTCACTTGCACTCCTTATAACAAAGGCGTCTCGGCCTCATAACTGAGCCTCCTTGTAGACCCTGGAATATGTACTCAGGATATGTATGTGTGAGTACACAAGTAAGTGGTGGTCTGCTGATCCCCAGAGGTGGCAGAGTCAATACTGCAATGTCTCCAAAGAAAGAAAAGCAGGTCACTCCCTGAGAGTATAGGGGTCAGGCTGAAGAGATGGCTCAGCCGTTAAAGGCTAGGCTCACAACCAAAACTACAAGAGTATAGGGATCAGGAGGAGTTCCTTAAAAATCTCTGTATGTTTCATATAATTGTGCCTTACTTCTGGAAGTGTCCTCAGCCGTCAGACAGTATGGGGTCTGACCTGGTTGATCATCAGAAGTATCCAAGAGTTTTAACCAATGAAATTTCTAGGCCCTGCCCCATAGCTATTGATCACGGACATGTATGTGCAGACATAGGAGGAAATGCACTTCTCAGGTATCATGATCAGCTGAGTCTTAGATCCAGAGGGCAAACTGACTCCCTAATTTTTCAGAGACAAAGTAAGATAAGTAATTTCTCCAGACTCCTCTAGTCCATTAGTTTAGAAGCTAGGACTAAAATTAGTCCCCCAGCTGTTAGTCTAGTCTTCTGCCTGGGCCCATGACCCCAGCTTACACCAGAACACACGCTGCTCCATGTCCACTGGAGGTTGGTCAGGAAGTAGAGTCAACTCCCCTTCTCTTCTAGTGTAAAACAAAAAGTTGAGGGAAGGAAGTCACCCCCTGCATCCTGACTTCTAGTCTGGGTGCACTGTGTCAGCCTTCTGGAGTCTAATACAGCCATGGTTCATTTAGTGGACACAGCCATGGCGTGCCCAGGCCAGAGCTGAAAAGTCCATCTGGTGGAGGAGAGGCTAAGAGCACCCTTGTTAGAGAGTGAGAAACTGTACTGATCCACGAATGGGTACTTACTTGCCCATATGGCACTCAGAGCATGATGCCTAGGTTGTCTGTCTATAAGGGAAGCAGAAATGGCTCCCCAGAGGGCCACAAGCCTTCCAACACCTCATTTCTCCTCAGCAGCCATCTTCCTGCTGTTGCCAAGTGTGCATGCTCCTAAGTGACCTGCCTGTGGCCCCCACTGCCCCATATACATGGCACCACAAGCTCCTGGCTCCCTTTCTTACACCCCAGGACATGCATACACTTTCCTCCAAACTAATCAGAGGACAGGGTGCTGTGTGAGTCACATGTCCTTTCTTCCCGGTATAAGCTACTTCCTTTAGAATTCTAAGCCACTTTGTTCCAGTCCTGCAAGGCATTGCTCTGACTGGTTTGTGAAGCCACTTATCTGTATCTCTCCTAAAAGGCCCACTACACTGGACCGAATGCTTGGTGGCAGGAGGTCTGTCTAGTTTTACCTGTTCAGTGACCCTTTGGCACATATTTCTCTTTTCCAGCTGTTACAAATGCATTTAACCTTCAGAGTATATAAAAGTCTAAATTATCTTTTTGTTATTGTTTCTGTTTGTTTGTTTGTTTGTTTTTCAAGACAAGATTTCTCTGTGTAGCCCTGACTGTCTTAGAAGTCTTGCTCTTTAGACCAGGCTGACCTGGAACTCAAGAGATTTGCCTGCCTCTGCCTCCCGAGTTATGGGATTACAGGTGGGTACCACTACTGCCATCATACACCTGTCTTGCCTAAATTGTTTTCTAACCAAAGCTCCTGTAGACTTCAAATTTCATGGAATTTAATGTCCATGGACATTTTAAATTTGCCTGTCAGTACTGAGGGGGCAAGAGACTGCACATGCAGCTATATTCAGTCATAAAAAGGGAGCTGGGCAGTGGTGGCACATGCCTTTAATCCCAACACTTGGGAGGCAGAGGCAAGCAGATCTCTTGAGTTCAAGGCCAGGCTGGTCTATAAAGCAAGTCCCAGGACAGCTAGGGCTACACAGAGAAATCCTGTCTTGAAAAACCAAAAGGAGAGAGAGAGAAAGAGGGGGAAAGAGGAGAGAGGGAGGGAGGGAGAGAAAAAGGAAGGTAGGGAGGGAAAGACGGAGAGGGACAGAGGCAGAGAAACAGAGAATATGAGTATGAATATGAGTATGAATATGGAGCTGGGTGAAAATGCCGAGTACCACAGCCTGTAGTGCTCCCTGCCATTCCTGAGCCCTTGGAGCCGACCAGCGTGGCCTAGGTTAGTGAGGCACAAAATGCCTCTGTGTTCTGACACTGAATAATGAAAACCCTTGTGCAGATGTAGAGGCGGATGGTCAAACTTGCTGAGCTTACTTATGGGAAAAGAAATAGCATATTCTTTTCTTCCTAAGAATAGTATCTTGTTCCTTTTCACAGAGGAAAGTGTTTGAGGCACAGCTACTTCCAGCTCCAGCTCCACAGTGCTGTTTGCACGTGGTGTGTCGCAATCCCAGCTGAGCATCAGGACAGGAAGCTGCCTGGGCTGGATAAGAACTAGAACTGAACACAGTGACCTTAAGCCCTAACATGGCACATGCTGTGGGTGCTCTACAGAGCTGTACCCCAGCCCTCCAGCTGCAAGTTTATGTTCCACGTATGAGCTTTGTCACTTGTTGTTCTTAAAGAAGCAAGGGGCAGGCTGTGGGTGAAGCACAGCCATAGTACAGCTTCCTAGTATGCTCAAGGCCCTGGCTTCTGTCCCTAGCATAGTGGGGAAGAAGAAAAAAAATCTATATACAGGGGACCAGACTAAGGGGTAGAAAAATGCTGGATCAGATAGCATGTATAAGTGTCCTGTGGCTATTTTACCATAGGCTGAGTGATGTAAATAAATTCTCTCATAGTGTACAAACCAGAAGTCCAAAATCAAGGTATTAGTAGATCCACACATCCTCCGATGATGTCCATGCTCCTCTTCCAGCTTCCTTCAGGGTCTGGGGCTCATGTGTTTTTTTTTTTTTTTAATCATTCGCAGTGATTCGAGATTTTAATACAAACAAAAAGCCTGGGAATTAGGTAATTTTGCTGTTTTTCTATTTGTATGTTGTCAGTGCTGTCTTCAAAGGAACAGGAGACCTTCATGTGGTCTGGGTGAGCCTTCTCATCTCTTCACCTTTGTCAGGTGGGGAGGCAGCCTGCCAGAAGTCTGTTTGCTCTGAGATGCCAGGCAGTGCTTACTGCATGATTCTTCAGAGTAAGTTATTTTAGGAATGCCCAAATACAAGTTTGGGAAATAGAATTTAGTTTATTCATCTGTAAACCTGTGTGGATCTCAAACTTCTTTATGGGATAGATGAACAAGAACCAAAAGTCAGTTTCACTGTCGGACCCCATCCACATAAGGTTAAGAAAGGCTCCTACCAATTTGGAAATCTTCACTCCATAAGAAAACAAAGCAACTTTTGAGGAAGGAGCGGGTGAGGACGAGAAGAGCTCAGGGACTCTCAGGGGTCACTGCAGTTCTGTGGAATTTAGTTTGCTCTCCAAAGACGTAGTTTCCTCTTAGTCACATGTAATGTACAGGGCCTGGCTTTCCTGTTTGTGGTGTCAAATTCCTTTCTGGAGAAGTTAGGCATTCTGTAGCTTGTCCGGTTGATACAGGCTGAAGTGTGTGAGGTCTCTGTGTAGTGTGTAGTGATGAGCCTGTAAATGGTTATCCACTGCAAGGCTTTAAAAATAGCTCCATCCCTGTTGGGCTTTGTGGATGTCAGTGCTCAAGCCTATATATGGAAACCTGTTTCTCTGAAGGCTGACCTCAGATGCCTCTAAAGCCCTCCCCCCCAACCCCCGTAAGTCCTCCTTAAGGCTGTTAGAATCCCATGTTATCAGTACCAGCTTTGATCTGAACAGAATAACCAGCCCTTGCTCAACAGGACTTGGCTGTGTCTCTCAGTCTTACATATTTTCACCTAAAAAAAATGTATCTTTTGGGTCTCTGGTTTATTATTGAATATTTTTAGCAGGAGCAGGTGAGAGATAGGTTCACTCAGTTGCCCAGACTGACTTGGAACATACTGTGTGGCTCAGGCTGACCTTAACCTATGGCAATCTTCCTGTCTCAGTGTCCTAAGGGCCAAGATTACAAATGTGAATTACCATCCCCAGCATTAACTGAAAAACATTATTACCATAAGCCCACAGACAGTCTGGATCTGAGCAGAGATATTTTGGACAGTTTGTTGTCAATGTGTGGTATGACATCATGCATAGTGCAAAGTACACGTGTTGTATGTTCAGAACCAAAGTTGTCATGAAGTCACACAGTACTACAGGGGCAAGTGAGAAGAGATTCATTACAAGTTTGATTGTGAGTTAATTTTTGGTTGTGCAGTCAGAAAGCTTTAATTGTTGCCAGTTTTCTTTTAAATATCCCCAACCTTAGGTTAAGCAACCACTGTTTAAGAAGCTGGTCCCTAAGCAATAGCCCTACAGCCCAGCATGTGTACATCTTCAGACGGCCTGTGTATACTACGTGTGCTTGCACTGCCGTGCAGATCCTGCTGGCCCCACCCCGTGTGCACACACCAGCGGCTCTCACTCTCGGTCTCCTTCTTCTCTAAGATGCTAATGAAGTCTGTTTTCTTTGGTAGCATTTTTCGTTCTACGCAGTTATTTTATAAATCACTACTCCATTTTCTTATCCTTTCCTATCTTAGTTATTTATTTTATCCTTTCCTATCTTAGTTAGTTATTTTATCCTTTCCTATCTTAGTTATTTATTTTATCCTTTCCTAT